CACTACAATAACAACACTACAATAACAACACTACAATAACAACACTACAATAACAACAGCACTACAATAACAACAGCACTACAATAACAACACTACAATAAAACACTACAATAACAACAGCACAACAGTAGCACTGCAAAATACTACAATAGAACCACAGTAGCACTACGGTAGCTCTACAACGTTAAGACAATGATCCACCAGACTGTTGCTTACTATAGCTTGTACATAAAGGAAGAATACCATTAGTGCGAGCCTGGCCCATGGCCGGGCTCAGAGGGTAGATAAACTCTCGAAACTCTTCAAAGGTATATCAAAGGTAAAGGTATAAGAGAGTGAAACGTGTAACGATGTTTCGCACCACAACTTTGATCATTAACTAGTGTGTTATGCCTGAGGTAACTTGGATCATTAACTAGCGTGTTATGTCTGGGATAATTTGGATCATTAACTAGTGTGTTGAGTTATGTCTGTTATAACTTGGATCATTAACTATCGTGTAGAGTTATGTCTGAGGTAACTTGGATCATTAACTAGCGTGAAGAGTTATGTCTGGGATAACTACTTATGGTGGTGTTAAAATTACTTAAGTTGTTGTTTGAGGTTATATTTGTGTCTTCTTCAAGGTGGTGACGAGGTGCCTACAATGCTGCCCACGAACTCTTCGTCCAAGGAATTGGATCTATCCTCTCTTTTCTTGGATCAAACTTTGCATCCCAGGCTTTGTGTTAAATGATCCTTACGGGTTCATTACTTTAGTAATTCCCCTTATGTATGAAGGGAAAATATTGAAGAGTCTTGGTCCCTTTACACTTATTGAGTTACCTTAGTATACTCACTGTTGTTCACCGGCATTATTTTCCACTGTCAGTCTTGTTCTCATAGGAGTCAACCCCCGGAGTAAGATCTGTGTACAGTTCTGGATCAATATTTCCAGGTGTTGGCTATCATGTATCCTTCTCGCCTACCTTCCACAGAGTACAACAGTTCAAGGGACTGCTAGAATTCCCAGTAACCTAACCATCAAATTTTAGCTTTTTATCCAGTTCAGAAAGCAAATTACTGGTTTTAAGTTAACTTTGATGCGCTGATCACGAATCTGAGCGTATATAGTCGCTATCACATAGGCTTTAAAACTTTTATGTTCACTGTTCAGTATTTTGGTTAATTAAGGTTGAAGAACTACATTAAACCTGTTATCTAACAATCTTTATATATATATATATATATATATATATATATATATATATATATATATATATATATATATATATATATACATACATTTTTTTTTAAGACAAAATACATTGACAAAACATTCACAAAAAATACGATAGAAAATAAAACAACATAGGTGACTCAGAGCTACATCTCGAATACTTCGTCCAGCTCCCCGGCGGTGGGCCGCGTGCCCAGAATGCTGCAGGCATTTCCTCTCTGGATTGCAACACTGAGTCTCTGAAAGAGGAAGCTGGTCGCCCTGTGGTCCTTGGTTTCTATGATGAGCTTTTCACCCAGCTCTATTAGGAACTTTAAAGCACACTTGCCCCTTGCTCCAATGGTCTCCGACCCTATTGGGATGAAGTTATAGCAAGGGGGAAGGTCTTCATATAAGTCCTTTATGAAATTTTCTCTTATACGTTTAAAGATATATTTTTTTCATTAATGTTAATGTAAAAAAAATTTAATTTTGCATCAAAAGAATCTTAGAAAACTTAACTAACCTTATTATAACAAGAACAATTTATTTTAGCCTAACGCAACTAAATATATTTTAAATACGTTTACAGTAATTTAGTACTAAACAAACACAATCAAATATGTATTTTTTCGTTATGTTCAAAATGATTTTGGCGAAATTATTGCATACACAAAATTTTGCTTGTCCTATATGGCAAGATGAGCGTTGCTATTTAAGCCAAGATGGCAAGTTCTGCCTATTCGGCACGACATATATATATAATATATATAATATATATAATATATAATATATATATATATATATATATATATATATATATTATATATATATATATAATTATTGTTATTATTACAGATGAGTGAGGGAATGTGGAAAAAGTGAGTGATATTCTTGCTGGTGATGTTGATTATTGCAGTTGGTGTGAAATAACTCGTGACTTGTGTATATGGAGAGTTTGGTTGAGAGTATTGACTACGTGTGGGTCATTAAACATAATCTTGAGCAGTACACCGTCACTCAGGAGTGTTGTGATCCCTGCAGTAAGGGACAGTCTGCTCAACCAACTTCTACTCATGTTGACAACCTCAAGCATTATTAATTGCGTATTATTGTGTACAAGAAATGATTGAGTTTATAAAACCTATCAAGGACGTCATTGTTTATAAAGACTGCAGTTAACATGTCGAGAAATATTGTAATTCCTGACACAGACTAGTGTACACTCTAGAGTATACATGTGTACACTCAGAGATACACACACGTCTCCATGTATGCAGGAAGATACTGACGTCTACTTGTATGCAGCAAGATACTGACGTCTCCTTGTATGCAGCAAGATACTGACGTCTTCTTGTATGCAGCAAGATACTGACGTCTACTTGTATGCAGCAAGATACTGACGTCTCCTTGTATGCAGCAAGATACTGACGTCTTCTTGTATGCAGCAAGATACTGACGTCTACTTGTATGCAGCAAGATACTGACGTCTCCTTGTATGCAGCAAGATACTGACGTCTCCTTGTATGCAGTAAGATACTGACGTCTCCTTGTATGCAGCAAGATACTGACGTCTCCTTGTATGCAGCAAGATAGTGACGTCTCCTTGTATGCAGCAAGATACTGACGTCTCCTTGTATGCAGCAAGATAGTGACGTCTCCTTGTATGCAGCAAGATACTGACGTCTCCTTGTATGCAGCAAGATACTGACGTCTCCTTGTATGCAGCAAGATACTGACGTCTTCTTGTATGCAGCAAGATACTGACGTCTCCTTGTATGCAGCAAGATACTGACGTCTCCTTGTATGCAGCAAGATAGTGACGTCTCCTTGTATGCAGCAAGATACTGACGTCTCCTTGTATGCAGCAAGATAGTGACGTCTCCTTGTATGCAGCAAGATACTGACGTCTCCTTGTATGCAGCAAGATACTGACGTCTCCTTGTATGCAGCAAGATACTGACGTCTCCTTGTATGCAGCAAGATACTGACGTCTCCTTGTATGCAGCAAGATACTGACGTCTCCTTGTATGCAGCAAGATACTGACGTCTCCTTGTATGCAGCAAGATACTGACGTCTCCCTTGTATGCAGTAAGATACTGACGTCTCCTTGTATGCAGCAAGATACTGACGTCTCCTTGTATGCAGCAAGATACTGACGTCTCCTTGTATGCAGCAAGATACTGACGTCTCCTTGTATGCAGCAAGATACTGACGTCTCCTTGTATGCAGCAAGATACTGACGTCTCCTTGTATGCAGTAAGATACTGACGTCTTCTTGTATGCAGCAAGATACTGACGTCTCCTTGTATGCAGCAAGATACTGACGTCTCCTTGTATGCAGCAAGATACTGACGTCTCCTTGTATGCAGCAAGATACTGACGTCTCCTTGTATGCAGCAAGATACTGACGTCTCCTTGTATGCAGCAAGATACTGACGTCTCCTTGTATGCAGCAAGATACTGACGTCTCCTTGTATGCAGCAAGATACTGACGTCTCCTTGTATGCAGCAAGATACTGACGTCTCCTTGTATGCAGCAAGATACTGACGTCTCCTTGTATGCAGCAAGATACTGACGTCTCCTTGTATGCAGCAAGATACTGATGTCTCCTTGTATGCAGCAAGATACTGACGTCTCCTTGTATGCAGCAAGATACTGACGTTCCAGATTTAGTTAGAAATACATGTTTTTTAAACCTGCAGTGAAACCATTGCTGGCCACTGTAATTTTTGTCCTTTTTCCGTGCTCTAAATAGTTGTTGTTCTTATCTGTTTCCTTTCGTACCGGGCCGCGGGGGGCGTTGACCCCCGGAACACCCGGTACACACCTCAAGTGTTCGTAAACTGGTGGTAATGATACAGATGGGAGAGTCTCTCTCTCTCTCTCTCTCTCTCTCCTTCTGCTGCATAATCCTACGGGTTTAGCGCTTCCCCTTGATTATAATTATAATCTCTCCTCTCTCTCTCTCTCTCTCTCTCTCTCTCTCTCTCTCTCTCTCTCTCTCCAGCATCACACCAACATATTCACCTGGGTGCTGGGCAGCTCAGTCTTACATCTGTTTACTGCTGTGCTGAGTCAGGGACCTTTGAGGTAAGTTAGGCTAGGCAAGGTTAGGTTAGGTTAGGCAAGGTTAGGTTAGGTTAGGTTAGTTTAGGTTAGGTTAGGTTAGGTTTGTCAGGAAACACGATAAGTGTTTCCTGACTCGGGTCTTAGTTATATGATGACTCGCAGCTGGAACGTTTGGTCATCTGACAGAAGCCTTCCACTGGCTTACACGTCCACCACTTTAAAAAATATATAGTTATTATACTAAGCAAATTAAAGTATCTGAGGGGAGGTCCTACGTGCGGGGGGGGGAGGTCACGTGACTTAAGGCTTGGCCAGGAGCCTGCCTATAAATGTTGCTGGGAAATAGTATAGTATTTGTAATACTGTTGACAATTGGAGAGAGTATTTGACTCGTAGGTCGATTGATAACGCACTCAGCTTCCAAACTGAGATCCGTGGTTCGATCCCCGGTACGGGTGGAAACATTTTGGGCGTGTTTCCTTAAGACACCTGCTGTCTATGTTCACCTAGCGGTAAAATGGGTACCTGGTTGTTAGTCGACTGTTGTGGGTCGCATTCTGTGGGCAAAATTGACCTAAGTTGCCCGAAATGCTGTGCATAACAAGGGGCTGTCTATATAGTATGTCATTGATGTCAGCTATGGTCTGTATAAGTTGTATCATGTACTTGACAAATTAAGATTATTATTATTATTATTATTATTATTATTATTATTATTATTATTATTATTATTGCATTATCCCTGCTTTGATTTCCTGGTTGTGGTAAATATAAGGGCAGGTTGCCTGGCACCCCTGCTGTCTCTGTTGTCCCTGTTGTCTCTGTTGTCTCTGTTGTCCCTGCTGTCCCTGCTGTCCCTGTTGTCCCTGTTGTCCCTGTTGTCTCTGTTGTCCCTGCTGTCTCTGTTGTCTCTGTTGTCCCTGCTGTCTCTGTTGTCCCTGCTGTCCCTGTTGTCTCTGTTGTCCCTGCTGTCTCTGTTGTCCCTGTTGTCCCTGTTGTCTCTGTTGTCCCTGCTGTCTCTGTTGTCCCTGCTGTCTCTGTTGTCCCTGCTGTCCCTGTTGTCTCTGTTGTCCCTGTTGTCTCTGTTGTCCCTGCTGTCTCTGTTGTCTCTGTTGTCCCTGCTGTCTCTGTTGTCCCTGCTGTCCCGGTTGTCTCTGTTGTCCCTGTTGTCTCTGTTGTCCCTGTTGTCTCTGTTGTCCCTGTTGTCTCTGTTGTCCCTGCTGTCTCTGTTGTCTCTGTTGTCCCTGTTGTCTCTGTCCCTGCTGTCTCTGTTGTCTCTGTTGTCCCTGTTGTCTCTGTTGTCCCTGTTGTCTCTGTTGTCCCTGCTGTCTCTGTTGTCTCTGTTGTCCCTGCTGTCTCTGTTGTCCCTGCTGTCTCTGTTGTCCCTGCTGTCTCTGTTGTCTCTGTTGTCCCTGCTGTCTCTGTTGTCTCTGTTGTCCCTGCTGTCCCTGTTGTCTCTGTCTCTGTTGTCCCTGTTGTCTCTGTTGTCCTGTTGTCTTTGTCCCTGCTGTCTCTGTTGTCTCTGTTCCTGCTGTCTCTGTTGTCCCTGCTGTCTCTGTGTCCCTGCTGTCTCTGTTGTCTCTGTTGTCCCTGCTGTCCCTGTTGTCCCTGTTGTCCCTGCTGTCCCTGCTGTCCCTGCTGTTCCTGCTGTCTCTGTTGCCCCTGCTGTTCCTGCTGTTCCTGCTGTCTCTGTTGTCCCTGTTGTCCCTGCTGTCCCTGTTGTCCTGTTGTCTCTGTTGTCTCTGTTGTTCCTGCTGTTCCTGCTGTCCCTTCTGTCTCTGTTGTCCCTACTGTTCCTGCTGTCCCTGCTGTCTCTGTTGTCCCTGCAGTTCCTGCTGTCCCTGCTGTCTCTGCTGTCTCTGTTGTCCCTGCAGTTCCTGCTGTCCCTGCTGTCTCTGCTGTCTCTGTTGTCCCTGCAGTTCCTGCTGTCCCTGCTGTCTCTGCTGTCTCTGTTCCCTGCAGTTCCTGCTGTCCTGCTGTCTCTGCTGCTCTGTTGTCCTGCAGTTCTCTGCTGTCCCTGCTGTCTCTGTTGCCCCTGCTGTCCCTGCTGTCTCTGCTGTCTCTGTTGCCCCTGCTGTTCCTGCTGTCCCTGCTGTCTCTGCTGTCTCTGTTGCCCCTGCAGTTCCTGCTGTCCCTGCTGTCTCTGCTGTCTCTGTTGTCCCTGCAGTTCCTGCTGTCTCTGCTGTCTCTGTTGTCCCTGCAGTTCCTGCTGTCCCTGCTGTCTCTGTTGCCCCTGCTGTCCCTGCTGTCTCTGCTGTCTCTGTTGCCCCTGCTGTTCCTGCTGTCCCTGCTGTCTCTGCTGTCTCTGTTGCCCCTGCAGTTCCTGCTGTCCCTGCTGTCTCTGCTGTCTCTGTTGTCCCTGCAGTTCCTGCTGTCCCTGCTGTCTCTGTTGTCCCTGCAGTTCCTGCTGTCCCTGCCCGTCTAGTAGAGAAATTTAGATACTTGTGTATTAGTGCAGTGTTGTGAGTGGCATCATGGGAAGTGTTAACAATGCTCAAGTACTTGATGAAGACTGAGACACTTATGCAACATATGGGAATCTTTATTGAGGAAACGTTTCGCCACACAATAGCTTAATCAGTCCAATACAAATCAGAAAGGTGTAAGGAGAGGAGGAGTTTGAGGTAATCAGTCCCTCAGCCTGGAGTCGATGTGTTCAGTCCATCAATCTTGTAGAAAGTACAACATAGGACCGTGGACGTGGCTTATGATCCCGCCTCCACCTGCTTCGCCTCACCTGACTACAGTATATAAACCACGTCCACGGTCCTATGCTGTACTTTCTACAAGACTGATGGACTGAACACATCGACTCCAGGCTGAGGGACTGATTACCTCAAACTCCTCCTCTCCTTACACCTTTCTGATTTGTATTGGACTGATTAAGCTATTGTGTGGCGAAACGTTTCCTCAGTAAAGATTCCCATATGTTGCATAAGTGTCTCAATCTTCAACTTGTCGGTTTTTTGGACCATTTATCACACTCCAGTACTTGCTGGAGTGTTCAACACTGTATAAGAACACTCCAGTACTTGCTGGAGTGTTCAACACTGTATAAGAACACTCCGGTACTTGCTGGAGTGTTGTATAAGAACACTCCAGTACTTGCTGGAGTGTTGTATAAGAACACTCCAGTACTTGCTGGAGTGTTGTATAAGAACACTCCAGTACTTGCTGGAGTGTTCAACACTGTATAAGAACACTCCGGTACTTGCTGGAGTGTTCAACACTGTATAAGAACACTCCAGTACTTGCTGGAGTGTTGTATAAGAACACTCCAGTACTTGCTGGAGTGTTGTATAAGAACACTCCAGTACTTGCTGGAGTGTTGTATAAGAACACTCCAGTACTTACTGGAGTGTTCAACACTGTATAAGAACACTCCAGTACTTGCTGGAGTGTTCAACACTGTATAAGAACACTCCGGTACTTGCTGGAGTGTTCAACACTGTATAAGAACACTCCACTACTTGCTGGAGTGTTGTATAAGAACAATCCAGTACTTGCTGGAGTGTTACAACACTGTATAAGAACACTCCGGTAAATTGCTGGAGTGTTCAACACTGTATAAGAACACTCCAGTACTTGCTGGAGTGTTCAACACTGTATAAGAACACTCCAGTACTTGCTGGAGTGTTCAACACTGTATAAGAACACTCCAGTACTTGCTGGAGTGTTCAACACTGTATAAGAACACTCCAGTACTTGCTGGAGTGTTCAACACTGTATAAGAACACTCCGGTACTTGCTGGAGTGTTCAACACTGTATAAGAACTCTCCGGTACTTGCTGGAGTGTTCAACACTGTATAAGAACACTCCGGTACTTGCTGGAGTGTTCAACACTGTATAAGAACACTCCAGTACTGCTGGAGTGTTCAACACTGTATAAGAACACTCCGGCATTTGCTGGAGTGTTCAACACTGTATAAGAACACTCCAGTACTTGCTGGAGTGTTCAACACTGTATAAGAACACTCCGGTACTTGCTGGAGTGTTTCAACACTGTATAAGAACACTCCAGTACTTGCTGGAGTGTTCAACACTGTATAAGAACAACTCCAGTACTTGCTGGAGTGTTGTATAAGAACACTCCAGTACTTGCTGGAGTGTTCAACACTGTATAAGAACACTCCGGTACTTGCTGGAGTGTTCAACACTGTATAAGAACACTCCAGTACTTGCTGGAGTGTTGTATAAAGAACACTCCAGTACTTGCTGGAGTGTTCAACACTGTATAAGAACACTCCGGTACTTGCTGGAGTGTTTGTATAAGAACACTCCAGTACTTGCTGGAGTGTTGTATAAGAACACTCCAGTACTTGCTGGAGTGTTGTATAAGAACACTCCAGTACTTGCTGGAGTGTTCAACACTGTATAAGAACACTCCGGTACTTGCTGGAGTGTTCAACACTGTATAAGAACACTCCAGTACTTGCTGGAGTGTTGTATAAGAACACTCTAGTACTTGCTGGAGTGTTGTATAAGAACACTCCAGTACTTGCTGGAGTGTTGTATAAGAACACTCCGGTACTTGCTGGAGTGTTCAACACTATAAGAACACGCCAGTACTTGCTGGAGTGTTCAACACTGTATAAGAACACTCCAGTACTTGCTGGAGTGTTCAACACTGTATAAGAACACTCCAGTACTTGCTGGAGTGTTCAACACTGTATAAGAACACTCCGGTACTTGCTGGAGTGTTCAACACTGTATAAGAACTCTCCGGTACTTGCTGGAGTGTTCAACACTGTATAAGAACACTCCAGTACTTGCTGGAGTGTTCAACACTGTATAAGAACACTCCGGCATTTGCTGGAGTGTTCAACACTGTATAAGAACACTCCAGTACTTGCTGGAGTGTTCAACACTGTATAAGAACACTCCGGTACTTGCTGGAGTGTTCAACACTGTATAAGAACACTCCAGTACTTGCTGGAGTGTTCAACACTGTATAAGAACACTCCAGTACTTGCTGGAGTGTTGTATAAGAACACTCCAGTACTTGCTGGAATGTTCAACACTGTATAAGAACACTCCGGTACTTGCTGGAGTGTTCAACACTGTATAAGAACACTCCAGTACTTGCTGGAGTGTTGTGATAAGAACACTCCAGTACTTGCTGGAGTGTTCAACACTGTATAAGAACACTCCGGTACATGCTGGAGTGTTCAACACTGTATAAGAACACTCCAGTACTTGCTGGAGTGTTGTATAAGAACACTCCAGTACTTGCTGGAGTGTTGTATAAGAACACTCCAGTACTTGCTGGAGTGTTTCAACACTGTATAAGAACACTCCAGTACTTGCTGGAGTGTTGTATAAGAACATTCCGGTACTTGCTGGAGTGTTCAACACTGTATAAGAACACTCCAGTACTTACTGGAGTGTTCAACACTGTATAAGAACACTCCAGTACTTGCTGGAGTGTTCAACACTGTATAAGAACACTCCGGTACTTGCTGGATGTTCAACACTGTATAAGAACACTCCAGTACTTGCTGGAGTGTTCAACACTGTATAAGAACACTCCAGTACTTACTGGAGTGTTCAACACTGTATAAGAACAATCCAGTACTTGCTGGAGTGTTCAACACTGTATAAGAACACTCCGGTACTTGCTGGAGTGTTCAACACTGTATAAGAACACTCCAGTACTTGCTGGAGTGTTCAACACTGTATAAGAAACACTCCAGTACTTGCTGGAGTGTTCAACACTGTATAAGAACACTCCAGTACTTGCTGGAGTGTTCAACACTGTATAAGAACACTCCAGTACTTGCTGGAGTGTTCAACACTGTATAAGAACACTCCAGTACTTGCTGGAGTGTTCAACACTGTATAAGAACACTCCAGTACTTGCTGGAGTGTTCAACACTGTATAAGAACACTCCAGTACTTGCTGGAGTGTTGTATAAGAACACTCCAGTACTTGCTGGAATGTTCAACACTGTATAAGAACACTCCGGTACTTGCTGGAGTGTTCAACACTGTATAAGAACACTCCGGTACTTGCTGGAGTGTTCAACACTGTATAAGAACACTCCAGTACTTGCTGGAGTGTTCAACACTGTATAAGAACACTCCGGTACTTGCTGGAGTGTTCAACACTGTATAAGAACACTCCGGTACTTGCTGGAGTGTTCAACACTGTATAAGAACACTCCGGTACTTGCTGGAGTGTTCAACACTGTATAAGAACACTCCAGTACTTGCTGGAGTGTTCAACACTGTATAAGAACACTCAGGTACTTGCTGGAGTGTTCAACACTGTATAAGAACTCTCCGGTACTTGCTGGAGTGTTCAACACTGTATAAGAACACTCCGGTACTTGCTGGAGTGTTCAACACTGTATAAGAACACTCCGGTACTTGCTGGAGTGTTCAACACTGTATAAGAACACTCCAGTACTTGCTGGAGTGTTCAACACTGTATAAGAACACTCCGGCATTTGCTGGAGTGTTCAACACTGTATAAGAACACTCCAGTACTTGCTGGAGTGTTCAACACTGTATAAGAACACTCCGGTACTTGCTGGAGTGTTCAACACTGTATAAGAACACTCCGGTACTTGCTGGAGTGTTCAACACTGTATAAGAACACTCCAGTACTTGCTGGATGTTCAACACTGTATAAGAACACTCCAGTACTTGCTGGAGTGTTGTATAAGAACACTCCAGTACTTGCTGGAGTGTTCAACACTGTATAAGAACACTCCGGTACTTGCTGGAGTGTTCAACACTGTATAAGAACACTCCAGTACTTGCTGGAGTGTTGTATAAGAACACTCCAGTACTTGCTGGAGTGTTCAACACTGTATAAGAACACTCCGGTACTTGCTGGAGTGTTGTATAAGAACACTCCAGTACTTGCTGGAGTGTTGTATAAGAACACTCCAGTACTTGCTGGAGTGTTGTATAAGAACACTCCAGTACTTGCTGGAGTGTTGTATAAGAACACTCCAGTACTTGCTGGAGTGTTCAACACTGTATAAGAACACTCCAGTACTTGCTGGAGTGTTGTATAAGAACACTCCGGTACTTGCTGGAGTGTTCAACACTGTATAAGAACACTCCAGTACTTACTGGAGTGTTCAACACTGTATAAGAACACTCCAGTACTTGCTGGAGTGTTCAACACTGTATAAGAACACTCCGGTACTTGCTGGAGTGTTCAACACTGTATAAGAACACTCCACTACTTGCTGGAGTGTTGTATAAGAACAATCCAGTACTTGCTGGAGTGTTCAACACTGTATAAGAACAATCCAGTACTTGCTGGAGTGTTCAACACTGTATAAGAACACTCCGGTACTTGCTGGAGTGTTCAACACTGTATAAGAACACTCCAGTACTTGCTGGAGTGTTCAACACTGTATAAGAACACTCCATTACTTGCTGGAGTGTTCAACACTGTATAAGAACACTCCAGTACTTGCTGGAGTGTTCAACACTGTATAAGAACACTCCAGTACTTGCTGGAGTGTTCAACACTGTATAAGAACACTCCAGTACTTGCTGGAGTGTTCAACACTGTATAAGAACACTCCAGTACTTGCTGGAGTGTTCAACACTGTATAAGAACACTCCAGTACTTGCTGGAGTTGTTGTATAAGAACACTCCAGTACTTGCTGGAGTGTTCAACACTGTATAAGAACACTCCGGTACTTGCTGGAGTGTTCAACACTGTATAAGAACACTCCGGTACTTGCTGGGGTGTTCAACACTGTATAAGAACACTCCAGTACTTGCTGGAGTGTTCAACACTGTATAAGAACACTCCGGTACTTGCTGGAGTGTTCAACACTGTATAAGAACACTCCGGTACTTGCTGGAGTGTTCAACACTGTATAAGAACACTCCGGTACTTGCTGAGTGTTCAACACTGTATAAGAACACTCCGGTACTTGCTGGAGTGTTCAACACTATAAGAACACTCCAGTACTTGCTGGAGTGTTCAACACTGTATAAGAACACTCCAGTACTTGCTGGAGTGTTCAACACTGTATAAGAACACTCCGGTACTTGCTGGAGTGTTCAACACTATAAGAACACTCCAGTACTTGCTGGAGTGTTCAACACTATAAGAACACTCCAGTACTTGCTGGAGTGTTCAACACTGTATAAGAACTCTCCAGTACTTGCTGGAGTGTTCAACACTGTATAAGAACACTCCGGTACTTGCTGGAGTGTTCAACACTGTATAAGAACACTCCGCTACTTGCTGGAGTGTTCAACACTGTATAAGAACACTCCGGTACTTGCTGGAGTGTTCAACACTGTATAAGAACACTCCGGTACTTGCTGGAGTGTTCAACACTGTATAAGAACACTCCGGTACTTGCTGGAGTGTTCAACACTGTATAAGAACACCCGGTACTTGCTGGAGTGTTCAACACTGTATAAGAACACTCCGGTACTTGCTGGAGTGTTCAACACTGTATAAGAACACTCCGGTAACTTGCTGGAGTGTTCAACACTGTATAAGAACACTCCGGTACTTGCTGGAGTGTTCAACACTGTATAAGAACACTCCAGTACTTGCTGGAGTGTTCAACACTGTATAAGAACACTCCGGTACTTGCTGGAGTGTTCAACACTGTATAAGAACACTCCAGTACTTGCTGGAGTGTTCAACACTGTATAAGAACACTCCGGTACTTGCTGGAGTGTTCAACACTGTATAAGAACACTTCGGTACTTGCTGGAGTGTTCAACACTGTAATAAGAACACTCCGGTACTTGCTGGAGTGTTCAACACTGTATAAGAACACTCCAGTACTTGCTGGAGTGTTCAACACTGTATAAGAACACTCCGGTACTTGCTGGAGTGTTCAACACTGTATAAGAACACTCCGGTACTTGCTGGAGTGTTCAACACTGTATAAGAACACTCCAGTACTTGCTGGAGTGTTCAACACTATAAGAACACTTGGTGGTGGGTAAATACTGTCACTCTATCTTATGATATTAATTGAAAAACACTTTTACTGAGGTCCGGTTGATAGCTGCTGGATAACCTTCTTAGTTACCATTTTGTTCTAGACACGTGTCGCTTATACTCTAGGTCTGTTGTGTGTGTGTGTGTGTGTGTGTGTGTGTGTGTGTGTGTGTGTGTGTGTGTGTGTGTGTTCACAGAGTTATACTCGGTTCTTGGTCCTGGCTCCTAGATTAAGATTGTTATCAGAGATTTCTAACATCTTGTGCCTTATCATTCCACTTATCAACTTCTCTCAGACTAAAGAAATACTTCCTAACATCCCCTTGACTCATCTGTCTTCAGCTTTCACCTGTGTCCTCTTGATCCTGGTGTCCTCTTGATCCAGGTGTCCTCTTGATCCTGGTGTCCTCTTGATCCAGGTGTCCTCTTGATCCAGGTGTCCTCTTGATCCTGGTGTCCTCTTGATCCAGGTGTCCTCTTGATCCTGGTGTCCTCTTGATCCAGGTGTCCTCTTGATCCAGGTGTCCTCTTGATCCTGGTGTCCTCTTGATCCTGGTGTCCTCTTGATCCAGGTGTCCTCTTGATCCAGGTGTCCTCTTGATCCTGGTGTCCTCTTGATTCTGGTGTCCTCTTGATCCTGGTGTTCTCTTGATTCTGGTGTCCTCTTGATCCTGGTGTCCTCTTGATCCTGGTGTCCTCTTGATCCTGGTGTCCTCTTGAGTCTGGTGTTCTCTTGATTCTGGTGTCCTCTTGATCCTGGTGTCCTCTTGATCCTGGTGTCCTCTTGATCCTGGTGTCCTCTTGAGTCTGGTGTTCTCTTGATTCTGGTGTCCTCTTGATCCTGGTGTCCTCTTGATCCTGGTGTTCCCTTGATTCTGGTTCCCTTGATTCAAACAGCTTGTCCCTATCTGTCTTATCAATTCTTCTTAAAGATTTTGTTAGTAGTAACCATTTGTTCTTTTGTCCTCTTTACCAAGGTAATCAGATTCAGTTCCTTCAGCATCTTGTCACAGGGCATTCCACTCGGTTGTGGTACTAGTCTAGTTGCAAATCTTTGAACATTTTCAAGTTTCTTCACGTGCTTGACGAGGTGTGACCCGCATGTTCTATGACTGGCTTAAAATGTAAGGCTCGAATGATTCTTTATTCAAGTTCCTGAGTTATGTTGTAGTGCTGGTTAATGTTACATGTGCTTTCCAGCCCTTGACCAGTCCTCCTGGTGGATCATGATCAACCAGGCTCCTGCTGCTGGCCGCACTGACTTTAGGTATCTATCCAGTTCCCGGTTAAATACAGCCGGAGGTCTGTTGGTAATCCATTTATGTATGATGGGAGGCAGTTGAACAGTCTTGGGCACTGGACACTTATTGTGTTGTCTCTCAGTGTACTCATGGCGCCCTTGTTTTTCATTGGGGGTATGTTGCATTGCCTGCTGAGTGTTTTGCTTTCAAACGACTGATTTGCTGGAACAAAATCTCTGTGTCATACCTGAAGACCTTTAATGGAATTATTTGACGATATCCTCATCGTTCCCTCAAAGTCTCCTAGTTTAGGCTGACATATTACACCTTGCATGAGCCTCATCCTGCGTGATGGAATATGACAGTGGAACACAGATAGGTTTTGTTAGTACTGTGTCACTGTCAAATATAATAGAAACGCAGCACACTACTGATGTATTCAATTTTGTTATTAAATAAGGTAGCCAGAGGGAAGTTAGTAATTACCTATATGCACAGAGTACACTGAGTTCTCTCAGTGTACTCGTCGCGTCCCAATGTTTATTGCTTTCATGGGAAGTTCAGTCAGTGTTCAAGTTTGAAACCAATCCCTCCAGGATTTTCCAGGTGTAAATTATGATTTACCTTTCTCGTTCCAAGGAAAACGATTTAAGGGACTTCAATCATTACCAGTAGTTCAGATGCTTGACTGAGTGTATACAAACAGTGAAAATTCTCTGCACAGTTTCCAGCTTTGAAATTTGGCCTGCCTGGAAGGAAGCCGTCAGTATACACCAGTATTCTAGCCTGGAGAGAACAAGTGACTTGAAGAGTATCATCACTGGCTCGGCATCTCTTGTTCTGAAAGTTCTAGTTATCCAGTCTATTAATTTTCCTGCAGTAGCAGTAGCAACATCGTTATGATCCTTGAATGTTAAACTTGACATCATTACTCCCAAGTCTCGTATATGCAACTTTTCCTCTATTGAATGGTTTAAGTTTATCCTGTACTCTGTTACAGTCTTTATTTCCTTCCATAGCAGAGCAACTGAAACTTGTCCTTGTTAACCATCACATTGTTGTCTTGTCTGAGGTCCAGTGGAAGACTTGATTTATATCCGCCTGAAGATTGGCCGTGTCTTCGATGGATTTCACTCTCATAAGAACTTCTGATGTCATCAGTAAAGGATAATTCATGCCATAATTTATGCCCTTATTAATGTCGGATATAAGAACGAGAAACAGAAGTGGGGCGAGTACTGTGCCTTAAGGGACAGAGCTTTCCATTGTGGCAGCTGTGGGAGAACCAGAGAATCTTTACTGACCATCAGTTTAGTCAAGCATATAAATTATTGCGAAAGCTTGAAGGTCCTCAAAATGTACGCCTTGGAACGTTTCCCTAGAGAGTGTTCCCCGGGTCAACGCCCCCGCAGCCCGGTCCCAGACCAGACCTCCCGGTGGATGACCTGTATGAGGGGAGGGTGTTGATGAGTCTTGGTCCATTAACACTTGTTGAGTTTTTTTATAGGGTACTCATTGCACCGATCCTTTTTATTGGAGGTATTTTGCACCGAGTCTTTATGGTGGTGGTATATATTGAGGACACAGTAAACCTCGAAGCTGACATAACAATGTTGCCGCGATGTCAGCGAGGGAGGGAGTCTGTAGGAGAGTCAGCGAGAGTGAGTTAGAGAGAGAGAGAGAGAGAGAGAGAGAGAGAGAGAGAGAGAGAGAGAGAGAGAGAGAGAGAGAGAGAGAGCCAGGTGGTAGTATGGCTAGCCACAGCCATATATGTGACTAACGATACAAGAAGGATAAGTGAAGGCTTAAGTGGGCTTCCATGTCTACCCATAGCTCCCTCCCCTCCCCCTCCCCTCTCCCCCTTCCCCTTTCCCTCCCCCTTCCCCTTTCCCTCCCCCTTCCCCTTTCCCTCCCACACAGGCCTAGTAAAAAGTAAAGTCAGAGAGACATAAATGCTGTGGGCACCCATGTGATTGTTACACAGCCCTACTGTGTCACCCACAGTGCAACTCTGCCACTCACAGTGCCACCCACCATAAGGCACTTGTTCTCTAGGCTGAAACATGTTGCAAATAAGTCATTTGTGTAGGTTTGGAACCAGTCCAGGTGTAAATTATGATGCATCTTTCTCGCCAGCGTTCCAGGGAGTACAGGCCAAGGGACTTCAAACGTTTCCAGTAATTAAGTTGCTTAACTGACATTATAAATGCAGCGAAAATTCCCTGTACATTCTCCAGATATGCAATTTCATCTGCCTTAAATGGGGCTGTTAGTGTACAGCAATATTCCAGCCTGTAGAGAACAAGTGATTAAAGAGGATCATGATGGGCTTGACATCTCTTGTTTAGACATTCTCATCCTATCATTTTCCTAGCAACTGTGGTTAGAATTTGTTACATACTTAGTTCTAGCTTTTATTTCCTCAATAATGGAATAACTGAAATCTGTCCACACTAACCATATTGTTTTATGCGTCCCACTGGAAGACTTGGTTTATATCCGCTTGTTGATTTGCAGTGTTCTCTGTTCACTGTAAATACTTTGGGTTCTGCTGTGTAGACGTCCATCTACTTGTCTGCCTATTTCCTTTGCTTGTATTTTTGTGTGTGTTTATGATCTGTTATACCATGATCATTCCTGTCCAAGACTTTGGCAGCAGAATATGGAAACGGTATACAGTACCGACATGTTGATAAGACACATGTGTAATAGTTAGGTATCTTTATTCCTAAACGTTTCGCCTACCCAGCAGACGTCTTCAGTCGAGTACAGAGGAGTTTGAAGAAGCAGTAGAGATGTAATCGCCTTCACATCCCTACTGCTGCTGCAAACTCCTCTGTACTCGACAGAAGAAGTCTACTGTGTAGGCGAAACGTTTCGGAATAAAGATACCTAACTGTTGCACATGTGTCTTTTCAACTTTGGCAATCTGTGTACACTTCGTTTTATTCTCTGGATTTTACTTGTTTTGCGCTGCATCACAGATTATGTAGTAATGGCGAGGCAACTGTGAGAGACAGGAGAGACCTGCTCTAAATCCTGGGGTGTGCAATTGTTGACATTCCAGTGACCCTTTTGGGTTTAGCGTCTAGTTTTAATTATAATAGTGTTGACATTCCATGTAGTCAGCAATCTTCCTTCTTAAGATTCAGATATTTTCATGTGGGAGGACAGCGTTACTGGGCTATAGATTTTTGTAATTGTTTTACTGCCATCTTTGTGGAGCCATGCCAGTGGTTTTTAAGGAGTGGGGGATGATTCCTGTGTTCAGGCTCCACCTTAGAACATTCAAGGCACGAGAGACAGTGGTTTCTTCCAGTTCATGGTGAATATTGAGTTCCGCGAGTCAGGGCAGTAGAAGTATAGAGCAAAATCCAGCATTAACAAAGTAAAGAACTCAGTACCCCAGGGCACTATCCTGGTGCCTCTACTGTTTCTTATCCTCATAGCGCACATGGATAACCCCCCCCCCTCACGCCACACCTTGTTTCACCATTTGCGGATGATGCCAAAATATGAAAATGAACTCTGTAGAAGACATTGTAAAAAGCAGTCTTCTAGTGGGCAGTGGAGAATAACATAACGTTCAGTGGTGACGAATTCCAAACCATACCACGGGTGGGATTTGAACCCGCGGTCAGAGAGTCTCAAAACTCCAGACCGTCGCGTTAGCCACTGGACCAGCTAGCTTCAATAAGATTCATCCAACTAGGTATATTTCTATTTTCAAGCTAGCTGGCCCAATCACTCAGTTTTAACATATCATGGAATTCCCCTAATAATGGCAATCAAGTCTCCGTCCCTGACTTTCGCTTGGCTGATTTCATAGGACTGAAAAATTACTTAGGTGGGCTGAACTGGAATGACCTGACTAAGGGTCAGGTAGGTGGTGATGGTTGCCGATATGTTGCTTTCCATGGCATAGTTCTAGCTGCTCAGTCAAATTATGTTCCAAATAGGGAAATCAGATCAAACAAAAATGATCCTAAATGGATGAACAATAGATTAAAATATCTGATTGGTCAAAAGAGAGGCATATATAGGCAAATCAAAAGAGGAGAGGGGCAATTAAGAAATCGATATATTCAGTTAAAGAGAGAAATAAAAAAGGGAATTAGAAAAGCAAAAAGAGATTATGAGGTTAAAGTTGCAAGAGAATCGAAGACTAACCCAAAAGGATTCTTTCAGGTATACAGAAGTAAAATCAGGGACAAGATAGGCCCACTCAAAAGTTCCTCGGGTCAGCTCACTGACAGTGATAAGGAAATGTGTAGAATTTTTAACACATACTTCCTCTCAGTTTTTACACAGGAGGATACCAGCGATATTCCAGTAATGATAAATTATGTAGAACAGGACGATAATAAACTGTGCACTATTAGGGTCACAAGTGACATGGTCCTTAGGCAAATAGATAAATTAAAACCTAACAAATCCCCAGGCCCTGATGAACTGTATGCAAGGGTTCTAAAGGAATGTAAAGAGGAGCTTAGCACACCTTTGGCTAATCTTTTCAACATATCACTACAAACTGGCATGGTGCCAGATAAGTGGAAAATGGCAAATGTGATACCTATTTTCAAAACAGGTGACAGGTCCTTAGCTTCGAACTATAGACCAATAAGCCTAACCTCCATAGTGGGAAAATTTATGGAATCAATAATTGCCGAGGCAGTTCGTAGCCACCTTGAAAAGCATAAATTAATCAACGAATCTCAGCATGGTTTTACAAAGGGGCGTTCCTGCCTTACGAATTTATTAACTTTTTTCACTAAGGTATTTGAGGAGGTAGATCATGGTAATGAATATGATATTGTGTATATGGACTTCAGTAAGGCTTTTGACAGGGTCCCACATCAGAGACTATTGAGGAAAATTAAAGCACATGGAATAGGAGGAGAAATTTTTTCCTGGATAGAGGCATGGTTGACAAATAGGCAGCAGAGAGTTTGCATAAATGGGGAGAAATCAGGGTGGGGAAGCGTCACGAGCGGTGTTCCACAGGGGTCAGTGTTGGGCCCCCTGCTGTTCACAATCTACATAAACGACATAGATGAGGGCATAAAGAGCGACATCGGCAAGTTTGCCGATGACACCAAAATAGGCCGTCGAATTCATTCTGACGAGGACATTCGAGCACTCCAGGAAGATTTGAATAGACTGATGCAGTGGTCGGAGAAGTGGCAGATGCAGTTTAATATAGACAAATGCAAAGTTCTAAATGTTGGACAGGACAATAACCATGCCAAATATAAACTAAATAATGTAGATCTTAATATTACGGATTGCGAAAAAGATTTAGGAGTTATGGTTAGCAGTAATCTGAAACCAAGACAACAGTGC